CAGTTACACACATTATTAAATCCTCACCCTAATTAGTGCAGCTACTATCAACATAGAAAGATTTTACAGTACCATTGATTATATTCTCCATGCTGCACTTCCCCATCCCCGTAACCAACTTATACTATGGTTGAGAATTTTGTGCATCTTCATCCCCGTCACTGCACCCACCCACCTATCCCAAACCCTCCTCCATGGTAACCACAAGTCACTTCTCAGTGTCTATAAGTCTACAGTTTTACTGAGCTTCCTATTTGTAACAGCAAAGGACTAAGCACTGCCAAAGATTCAAAGGTAAATTAGAGGCTGATAGGGGTAAGATTATATATATATATTGGCACATATTAATTAAGAATTTTGTGTTCTTTAAATTGGTAATAGAATATATTGACTCACCAACAAAACTAAACATGCGGGTAAAAGGAATATCTGTTTTAATAATAGTAATGAAAATACAATGCTTGTGCTTTTATAGAATAGGAATATAACTCTAAAGTTGCAAAGACAGCTTAGTATCACTTTGTAATATATTATGGAGCAAATGAACCAATTGCACATTCTCAGAAACATTCCTGGGACTAGAGTTGAGTTTTTTCCTTGTATTAAGATTAGAGCTACACATTTTTAAAATTTGATGAGACAGTACATGATCAGATAAGACACATTCACATATTGATTCATAACTATATATTTTTAAATTCTCCAGGTAGTCTGCAATGAGAAAATAATTTTTACACAATTTAGAGAAGATGCATTGAAAGTACAAATATTTTCACTAGATTTTCAGTTGTCCCAAATGAAAAAAATTATTTTTATAAATGAGGGTGGGGCACAACTTCTAACCTCAAAGATATGACCACATTATTGTGAAGAGATGATGAAATCTATTGTCATATTTAAGAAGACGTTGCCTCTTCCAATTGTCATAGCTTATTAGTGTACAAAGAAAACGGAGTTGAGAAACAAGAATCTATTCCAGAAAACAAGTATTCTCTATTACTTCGTGTGAAGAGCCCTAGGTATGCTCCTATAGGATTGAGCTGCATATGTAAGGAAATACTGGACCTAGAATATGACCTGGCTCTTTAATATTTAAAACGAACTCCTGGAATTATACCCAGAAGCAGATAGTTGGGCAGCTCTCCCTGTAACTTCTTGTCTGCCGACAGAATCAACGGGACAACTCAGGAGAAATATTCTTTAAGATGAATATGTATGTACTGTAACTATGTACACATGGCCAGCAAAGTTTTAAAGGGGTTTCAAAAGTTTATAGTCCTGAACAAAATCCTCATCAGGAGTCTCTGCAATATGGGCACTGGATTCATGCTTTATTTCCCTAGAGAATATGCTGATTATTTTCTCTGCTTTCAAGCCAGCTCCCTTCTTGATTTTCCCTTTTCTCTTGGTGGCAGTGAGACAATATAGTGGTGAAGAGTATAAACACTGGGATCAGACCACCTGCGTTAGAATTTGACCCTGAACAAATCATCTAACCTCTTGGAAATTCAATTTTTTCATCAGTGAAATGGAGAATATAATAATACCTCACAGGATTGTGGTAAAGATTAAATGACAATCAATATAATGGGCAGAGCACAGAAATCTAACACTTGGTGTGTTCAACAAATGTTTAGTATTGTTATCAAGGGCACCACCATTTTCTCAATACTGGGCTCCCAGTCACTCAAACCAGATTTAGTTTTTCTAATTTTTCTCCTTAATATGATTTTCCTTGCACCAGACCTAGTAAAGCATGGACCCTAAATATATCTGGAAGTTGTCCCTTTATTTTTCAATATCACCATTATCAATGAATTCCACTACTACTCATGTGGAATATAAGAATGCCTCCTAACTGGTTTCCTAATACATGTTGGGGTCAAATTAATCTTAAATTGGGTGCTGGGTGTGAAGCCATTGCAGATGAGCTAGGAATTTAAACACATCATCAGCGGTGGGTGGAATTACTCTGCTGGTTTTTAGAATTTTTATATCATACTCCATAGCACAGGAAAAATGTTCCCAACTACAAAAACTGCACACCACTATTCCCATGGCCAATCATAGTATAATAAAGTAGACTTTCAGTAAATATTTGATGAACAAGTAAATGAGTTAATGAATGAAATGGTATCACAGATGCTAGCAGTAGCCTTATTTTTGTGTGATTTAATTTTTGGTTATTTCAGGTCATTCTAAAAGAGTTGACATCATTACTTGGTGTCCAGTTGCACACCATGTTCCATTCATCCAAAGTTATGATAATTTAGTCATCATCTGGAATGTGAGAACAGGGAAGTCATTTAGAAACTTGAATGGTATGCATTCAGACATGATTAACAATGTGAGCTGGAATCAGCATGCCAGCCAGATCCCCACAGTTTCCAAAGACAAGAAAGTGAAAGAAATCAATTCTAAGAAACAAGTTGTTGCTGGGAAGAAAGAGTTTAGGCAATGAGAGTTATTCTTTAGTAGATGGAAATATGTTCACTATTGTTTCAGCTCACTGAGTGACAGATTATGTTCTAAAAATTCAAAAATCATGCAGTAACTATTCACCCTTCCTGAAATAGACACTAATAATGGGTGTTGCTGCTATTATATATTTCTAAAGCAAATTTAACTTACTTATATTGAAAACGTAGCAGCAGTATCTGCAAACTTGAGACCAATCTCCATCACATCTAACCACAGCAAAGGACCTTAGAGTTACATTCATAAAAAGGGGCACGGCATTAACAAACAGGAGATGACCAAATTTTTCAAAATCCAACAGGGAAGTCAAATGTCGATTTATTTAACTATTCTCAGAAGTCTGACTTTTTGCAAGATAACCTATATTCAGATGCTGTGAAGTCTTAAGCAACTCTATAAGCTAAGGAATAGTTGAAATATAAAAAAAATAGATTATCCTTATAACCTTATAAGAATCCTAGCATAACTAACCATTTCACCCTCCTATTCCTTTCATAATTTGAAAGGTGTTTCCTCCTGCATTATTCTAAATGATTCACACAGCAACAAGACTGTAATATTGCATTATTCTACTGAGGAGGAAACTGAGGCCCAAGGAGATGAGAAGACTTGCTCAATGTCACATACCCAACAATTAATCATATACTTCCTTGGTTGTTACCAGTTTGGTTCTATTCATCTGAAAATGGAAATAATCCCTGCCCCTTCTGCCTGATCACACTTTAGGGAAGATACACTAAGATAATACATTATTACCCATCCAGCAACTTGCCCTTTGTAGGTAAATGTGTAAGAGCACCCATTTGTTCAGCAATCTGTGTGGTGTGGATCAAAGGAAAAGACTAGCACAGACCCTAGGCTGAGTTGTATCAAACGTGATGGCAAAGGGAAGGTAGCTATAAAGAGAAAGATCCTAAAATGGTGAGATTTCTTCAGCCTACATTAAATGTTGCTTGATAAGTATTAAATTATATGGCCAGACTTGAGCAAAGAATAAGTAAAAGAACATAAGACACCAGTATTTCTAAGCAAACTCAAACATCTTGTCCTGTGTAAGACACAGTTTCCCTTCTGTACCCCTTCATCTACCTACCTATCTGCAGCCTATCCCAGAAAATGAAGGCTGTCTTTGCAAAGTGCCTACAGTGGAGAGAGGCGATGGGCTTCAGAGTCTAGTAAACCTCAGTGAGAAAAACTACCATCTGAAATTTACTGGAGAGAGAGGTGGTTACTCCAAACATATTCAAGTCCCTTTAATAAGAATATGAGTAGATGAGGGGATTCCCTAGGACAAGCTGGATTATTATATATATTTTTTGTAAGTGTTATTGTTTTCACACAACAGACCCCTCTACTGTCTTTCGCAGCAGGACTATTTATAAATTCTTCATCACTATCACTCAGTCACCAACCTACACAGCATGACTTTCACATGTTGAGGTTCTCTCTCAGTGTCACTAACCAGGGAGAATTGATTGTGAAGAATAGAATTACTATCTTAGTTGCATATGCAAATGTTTCAATAATTATTTCTATCTCAGCTTCTTTAAGATTATATATTTTTCTCACTACAGCTGGGTTAGCATCTGGTCAAATTTTGTATCCGCCACCTACACTTCCACCTTCCTAAATACATATGCACACAAGCCTGTTTTTCCTCCCTGCAGATTTCACAGATGGCTGAAGAGAAACAAGCCCTAGGCTGAGACCTTACCCTGGTTTCCCTGCCCTTACAGGTTTAAAATATCTGGATTATTTCAAGGATTCGCTATGAGCTTTCCACCATCCTTTGTATCTCATCATGTCCTACTTGCAAAATTGGAAGTTAAGGGGGTACTAGTCCTATAGTTTTGATTTAGTATTGGTTTAGATTTGGGAAATTAACATTACAAAACAAACGTCAACAAAGAAAAAAGTCATTTGTTGAGAGTATGAATCAAGTAACTAGAAGCAGGTTTGAATCAAGTAACTAGAAGCAGGTTTCTGAGTTTTCTTTAAAGGAAAGGTATTTTAAAGGTACAAAACAGTCATAGAACTGCTTTCAGGGCCTGGTGAGTGCTGAGCCAAGGAAGCTTGGGTTGGTGCCAAGTTACAGTTCCCTGACCTGCGGGAGTCCAGGCCCAAGGTTGGGAAAACAGAATCGGGGTCGGGACTATTGTGCCGAACAGAGGCAGAAAGACTTAACAAGACAGGCTTCCTTCCTGTCTTGCTCTTATCGGAGGGAGCAGAGAGTGGATGAAAGCACACCTGGAGTGCAGGTAAAGCATATCAAAGGCAGGTCAAGCCCCAGTCTGACCACGGGCTCCACCACCGCTTTTCTTTCCCTCTGGCAACCTCCACCCCCATCCCAGCTCTTGGACCCCTCCAGGTCCTCCCTCAGCCCCTCCCTGGTTCAGCCCACAGTCTCCTACCCACTTTGGGACTGTGTCCCAAGTGTCCCCAGATCTGGGCTTGCAGCTGCAAAGGCATAGAGGGGGAAAAAGTAGGTGCTGTTAGGGCTAGCACAATCTTTCCTCTTCCAACCTGCAGTCCAGGCAGTGATTGGAGCCACGCCTTACCGCTTAGCCAGAAGATTCACAATGGTGAAAATCGCCTTCAACACACCCACGGCGGCGCAAAAAGAGGAGGTACGGCAAGAAGTGGAGGCATTCGTAAGCCGCACGGTCCGAGTTCAAAGGTAGAGATCCCCATTACACTCTGACTGCTCTGGGGAGAAGGTTTGGAGGGGAAGGAAGGTGTCAGGTGGCAGAGGACAAAATGAAATCTGTTCCGCAGCTCCTGTGTTCCCGGGCCTTCTCCTCTGCGTTGTCCATCGGGTTTGCCCCGTCACCCCAGTTCTGTCTAGTCGGGCCACCTTCAGCTTAAAGTACCTCACACCTCTTAGCATCCCCGCGCATTGTGCCACTTTCCGTGGGTTCCAGCCAACATTGTACATCATGGAGGGATGTTGGACGGAGTTTGAGGAGAACCCTTAGCACCAGATGGCACTTTCTGCTGGGGAACATGTGGCGGTGGCGGGAGGCTAGGGATCAACGTGAGGCAAGCTGCTACCTGGTGCCCACCGGGGCAAAGCAGACATTCAAGGGGAGCAAGGGCAACAGATTTAACTCTCCTATTGACGTGTATGAAGTTCTATGAATCTAAGTCTTTCTAGGATCCCTGAGTGTTGTGGGAGTGGGGTAGGCAAATAGCAGCTTTGAGTCAAAGTGTGACGGCTGGGACCAGTGTGTGTCTATACCTGCCGTGTATATTTTCAATTTCTTCCTGGTCATAGAAGGTGTTAAAAATTTGGGAGCTGTCAAAACTGAGGTTGGTCTTAATTAGAATTTGGGATGTTCACTTTGCTCTCTTACTGCAAAAGCCTTGTATATTTTTGTAGTGGCATTTTCTAAAGAAAACACTCCTCTTCGATAAAAATAAATTTTGAGGTATTCCTTTTTCTTTTTATTTTTTAATATATTTTATTAAGTGATATTCCCTCTACCCACCCTTCCCCCATAGAGAGATAGGAAGCAAATCCAACCTTGTGATTTAAACTTCTAACACTGCCAGGAACTGGGGGAAGATCTCCCCCCAGTATGTTGGTCATTATTTCTTTAGATCAATTTCTATTTCCTTTAAACATCTAATATGTACTAAAGAGTCTGTAAGCTACTCATTTTCCACAGTAAAATCTCAATTTTACAAGGCACAATCTTGTTCTACACATTCTGTGCAGCGTTGGGGCTTTCCAAACTAAGTTAACTTGTCTTGTTCTCTCTATAAAGTTTCTAACTTTTGTGTCAATGATTTGAAAAGTGCTTTGAGTGAAATGAGAATCCATATAGTAAAATTGACTATGTATACAATATGAAATGCTAGTATTCTCATGCAGAATTTTTATCATGGAAATTTTCAATATTTACTCCAGCAATGAAACTAGCTTTTGTGTGTTATATATTTCAGAACTCAAAAGTAACACCCCCTTGCAATGTTGAGGTTCTGATTAAATGAAAGGTCAAATAATTGTCCTTTTTTTGGTATCATTAATCTACAATTACATAAGGAACATTATGTTTACTAGACTCCCCCATTCACCAAGTCCTCCCCCCCACTAACCCCATTACAGTCACTGTACATCAGCTTAGTAAGATTATGTAGAATCACTACTTGACTTCTCTGTGCTGTACAGCCCTCCCCGTGCCTCCCACCACATTATACATGCTAATCTTAATGCCCCCTTTCTTTTTCCACCTCTTATCCCTCCCTTCCCACCCATCCTCCCCCATCCCTTTCCCTTTGGTAACTGTTAGTCCATTCTTGGGTTCTGTGATTCTGCTGCTGTTTTGTTCCTTCAGTTTTTTTCTTTCTTCTTATACTCCACATATGAGTGAAATCATTTGGTACTTGTCTTTCTCTGCCTGGCTTATTTCACTGAGCATAATACCCTCTACCTCAGTCCACATTGTGGCAAATGGTAGGATTTGTTTTCTTCTTATGGCTGAATAATATTCCATTGTGTATATGTACCACATTTTCTTTATCCATTCATCTACTGATGGACACTTAGGTTGCTTCCATTTCTTGGCTATTGTAAATAGTGCTGTGATAAACATATGGGTGCATCTGTCTTTTTCAAACTGGGAAGCCATATTCTTACAGTAAATTCCTATAAGTGGAATTCCTGGGTAAAATGCTATTTTATTTTGAACTTTTGAGGAAACTCTATAGTGATTTACACAATGGTTGAACTTATTTACATTCCCACCAGCAGTGTAGGAGGGTTCCTCTTTCTTCACAACCTCATCAACATTTGTTGTTGTTTGTCTTTTGGATGGTAGCAATCCTTACTGGTGTAAGGTGATACCTCATTGTTGTTTTAATTTGCATTTCTCTGATGACTAGCGATGTGGAGCATCTTTTCATGTGTCTGTTGGCAATCTGAATTTCCTCTTTGGAGAACTGTCTATTCAGCTCCTCTGCTCATTTTTTAATTGGATTATTTGCTTTTTGTTTGTTGAGGTGTGTGAGCTCTTTATATATTTTGGGTGTCAACCCTTTATCGGATCTGTCATTTATGAATATATTCTCCCATACTGTAGGGTTCCTTTTTGTTCTATTGACTGTACAACATTTGCTGTACAGAAGATTTTCAGCTTGATATAGTCCCACTTGTTCATTTTTGCTTTTGTTTTCCTTGCCTGGGGAGATATGTTCATAAAGAAGTCGCTCATGTTTATGTCCAAGAGATTTTTGCCTATGTTTTTTTCTAAGAGTTTTATGGTTTCATGACTTACATTCAGGTCCTTGATCCATTTCAAATTTACTTTTGTGTATGGGGTTAGCCAGTGATCCAGTTTCATTGTCTTACATGTAGGTGTCCAGTTTTGCCAACACCAGCTGTTGAAGAGGCTGTCATTTCCCCATTGTATGTCCATGGTTCCTTTATCATATATTAATTGACCATATATGTTTGGGTTAATATCTGGAGTCTCTATTCTGCTCCACTGGTCTGTACATCTGTTCTTGTGCCAGTACCAAATGGTCTTCATTACTGTGGCTTTGTAGTGGAGCTTGAAGTAGGGGAGTGAGATCCCCCACACTTTATTCTTCCTTCTCAGGATTGCTTTGACTATTCAGGGTTTTGGTGGATCCATATGAATTTTTGAACTATTTGTTCCAGTTCGTTGAAGAATGCTGTTGGTGATTTGATAGGAATTGCATTGAATCTGTAGATTGCTTTGGGCAGGATGTCCATTTTGATTATATTAATTCTTCTTATATAAGAGCATGGGATGAGTTTCCATTTGTTAGTGTCCTCTTTCATTTCTCTTAAGAGTGTATTGTAGTTTACAGGGTATAGGTCTTTCACTTCTTTGGTTAGGTTTATTCCTGTGTGTTTTATTCTTTTTGATGCAATTGTTAATGGAATTGTTTTCCAGATTTCTCTTTCTGTTAGTTCATTGTTAATGTATAGGAAAGCCACAGATTTTTGTGTATTAATTTTGTATCCTGCAACTTTGCTGATTTCAGATATTAGTTATAGTAGTTTTAGAGTGGAGTCTTTAGGGTTTCTCATGTACAGTATCATATCATCTGAAAATAGTGACAGTTTGACTTCTTCTTTACAAATCTGGATTCCTTGTGTTTCTTTGTTTTGTCTAATTGCCATGGCTAGGATATCCAGTACTATGTTGAATAACAGTGGGGAGAGTGGGGATCCCTGTCTTGTTCCCGATCTTAAGGAAAAGTTTTCAGCTTCTCGCTGTTAAGTATGATCTTGCTGTGTGTTTATCATATATAGCCTTTATTATGTTGAGCTACTTGCCCTCTATACACATTTTGTCGAGAGTTTTTATCATGAATGGATGTTGAATTTTGTCGAATGCTTTTTCAGAGTCTATGGATATGTTCATGTGATTTTTGTCCTTTTTGTTTATGGGGTGGATGATGTTGATGGATTTTCGAATGTTGTACCATCCTTGCATCCCTGAGATGAATCCCACTTGGTCATCGTGTATGATCCTGTTGATGTACTTTTTAATTCCGTTTGCTAAAATTTTGTTGAATATTTTTGCATCTATTTTCATCGGGAATATTGGTCTGCAATTTTCTTTTTTGGTCGGGTCTTTGCCTGGTTTTGGTATTAGGGTGATGCTGGCTTCATGGAATGAGTTCAGTAGTATTCCCTCCACTTCTACTTTTTGGAAAACTTTAAGTAGAATGGGTATTATGTCTTCTCTGCATGTCTGATAAAATTCTGTGGTAAATCCATCTGGCCTGGGGGTTTTGCTCTTGGGTAGTTTTTTTTATTACAGCTTCAATTTTGTTGCTGGTAATTGGTCTGTTTAGATTTTCTGTTCCTTCCTTAGTCATTCTTGGAAGGTTGTATTTTTCCAGAAAGTTGTCCGTTTCTTCTAGGTTTCCCTGCTTTTTTTTTTTCTGTATGATCTCCTTTATATTTGGAATAAAAAAAAAAAAGATT